CAGGTAACTGGTGCCAGGACAAACTGTTGGCCCGCAAGCCTGCAGTTGGCCCAGGGAAACTAGAAAAGCCTAAGCAGGGAGCACAGGACAGGCACAGCTGGTTACAGGGGTGTAAAGAATAAAAGTTTGGGCTGTAGAGCTGTCTCTGACCTCTTTTATCAGTAATCTTCTGTGGGTGGTACTAATACCCTACTTGCTAAGTGGGAATGGAGGACCAATGAAAAGGGTAATCATTTAAAGAATTATAACTAATGTAATAATGGGACCTAATTTTGTGTAACCACTAAGCGAATTGTAATTGTACCTTAATTCTGAGTCTAACCTTGCAGAAGAGTTCTCTACCATAAACAAGCTGTAGTCTTGTCTTTCTAAAAGTCAAACCACCTCAACTTTGTGATAACATTGCAATTTAACCCTCACCAAAGAATACATTTGATACTTTTGCTCTGATATATATATTATACCTAATATATTTATAGTGTAGAAGTCCTACAACTGCATGTTCAGATCTGTCACTTTTTCTTGGAGCAAGAAGCACACTCTCATATGCATAATATGAAGGAGCTCAGGCTCTCAGTTCCATTTCTGATATAGTTATATTTTAGTATTTTATTTTTTAAGCTGCGAGTTAACTTCAGCAAGTCCTGTAAAATATTTTCTTGACTGTATAGCTCAGTCATGGTTACAATGGCTGCAGGCAAAGAATAAATATATGGGTACATGCCTGGAATTCTGCTCTATTTGAAGGCAAGAATTCTTGTGGGTGATATCTTTTATTGGACCAACTGTATGGTTGATATAGACACAGGCAAGCTTTCAAGTATCCCAGTACCCTTTCTCAGGCCTCTTTATTCAAACACATGGTTGTTAGGTTGAGTAACCAGGTGCACAGGTGGAAGATGTAGTTTTCCTAACCCAAAGAAAAAACAAAGTCCAAAGCTGAAAATCCTATTTGATATAGGAGTAGCTGATACTTAATTCCTGATTAAATAACTTGCGTCATAGGAATGTGTCAAGAAAACAAATTATTTTAACCATTCTTGCATTTAGTTATAGCTTAAGCTTTTTATATTTAAAACTACTTAGGCCAAAACATTGTTAGAGCTTATTAAACAACATGTGGCAGGGTGCTCATGTTCCCCTCTCCCCTGCTTTTACTGTGACATACATGGTGATCTTGATCTTTTGGATATTGTTCCTTGTAGCTGTGGCTGAGAATCTGTAGTGGTGATTATGGGAATTACTTAGGCTAACAATTAGCTGCAAACACAGGAGACTGGAATCGATGGCCCAGGAGAGCCCTTCCAGTCCTATGTTCCTAAATTAACATATTTGTCCATTTTCCCTCTCAGCTAGTTCTTTCAATTTTACTCCGTAAAGTACTGATTGAGGAAAGAGGAATACTAGGTCTAGCTGACTGTTGTCAACTAAACTGAGTTTGAAAGAAATTCAGGCAGAAAATCATTAGCCCTCAGATTCATACAATCAAAATAAAGGTTGCATTTGGCAGTCCAAACTCAAGGTCCTTTCAAAGAAAACTGCTCAGACTCCCTTATCGCAGACAAGTATATCTACTTTGTAGGCTCTGACATAAAGTAAGGTATGTTTATGTTTATGCCTTTATACATAGCATTTACTACAGACTTCATGTTATCTGTCAGCTAAGAAAAAATAAAATGTTGCTAAAGAGAGCAGTTTCTGTTGGGTTCCTTTAAATTTACATTAATGAATATTGGCTTTGTTCTATCAACCTATGGCCCAGGAGCTGAATTCAGCCCACAAAGAGATTTGATCTGCCTGCAAAGCTCAGATATCAGTGGCAATCTGGGGACTGATGATAGCGGCAGCAGCAATAGCAAGTGGCATGGCAGCCAGGTTGGAAGCATGTTGAGGTCTGAAGCAGCTAGGTCAGAAGTGGTTGGTGGCCCACCTTTGGGGTCAGCTGCACTAATTTGGCTTGCCACTCCTGGAAGCTGCTTCCTGACCCCTGCTCTATATTATGATAATCCCAACTTCTAGAAATACCAGTGGCCCAATAAATGCATGAATTGTTTTTTCTGAAACATAAACTTTCTCCTAAAGAATCAGACTAAGTTTCCAAAAGCTCTCTATGCTCTCTCTCCCATTACCAACAGGATGCAGCACTTAATGTATGTTTTTTTACAACTATACATATGATTGTGAGAAGTATACTTGCTTTACAGAAATATTCTAAGTAAACTGAAGAACTGTCAAATATCAGTACTCTTTACCTTGGAAAATGACTGACTGATGATTCAGCATCTGAGAGAGAATGTCCATATTCATTGTAAATGGGACAAGTAGCAAATGCATCTGAGTTTTCAAAAAGTGCCATTTCATTAAAAATAACTTATTCTGGTTTGAAGCTAAAAAATACAATAAATGTGTTCAGAAATATGTCCACGGCCTTTAAGAAGTAAAAGAAATTGAAATAATTAGAAAACGCTGACAGAAGACCAGTTTAAAAAAAGTCTTTCAAAGCTCAGTGATAAGAGATCAAATTTTCCTTGTATTAATATCAGTGCTTAACTCACACTTACATTTTGCCTTTGTATTGTACAGTAAACTGGACTTTTATGGAAGTGAACACTTCTAAATGCAAACAATATAATCTAAGCAAAGCTATCAACATTTAGGTACCTTGTATGTCAGATTATTCCGTGACCTCTAAAACCAAAGGACAAAACATTGTTTCATAACTTTCCCATTTTTAACAAAATTGATTCCACTGTCTTGTAATTATTAGAAATAAGTAAACCACTGCACAAATTACATCTGAGGTCTTGGTTTAGCAGAACAAGTAGAGTTGGTTTGAATCTCAGTCCCATTTTCATTCAATCCAAAAGTTCAGAGAGGTTTAGAAGACTGATTCCAATTTACAGTCCCTTGGAAAAATGAACTGCAAAAATAAAACTCCCATAAAATCTGTTAAAAATAGAATTGTATTCACAGATAGATAAAAACAAATGTGTTTTTTTCTGTTCTGTGATTTCCTCCTCTTCCTAGTTTCATAGCAATTGTACTCTTACTTTAGGAATCATATAGATATGATTCAAGAGAACCCAGCCCCCAGACTGTTTTAGAAGAGCTCCAGGGCTGTCAAACCTCCTTTTTATCCCTAAGCTTCTGTATACTTAACCTATGTTTCCAGACTCTGAAAAAGGACCGCCTTTTTGTAGGGGGTGCATCGCCACGCTCAGGGGGTGCACATGCACCCCCTACCTGTCGCCCTTGCTAGCTCTTCACATTCATTGCAGATTCAAGCACAATCTGACAGGCAGTCTTTTGTTATTTGTTCTGGCCTGGAAACCTGTGAAAATGTAGTTTGTAAAAACAACCACCCTGTCAGCAAACAGCTGAAGAGGGATTCATGGCAGTCATCACCAGATTTCCATTTCAGGTGGGCCACCAGAGGCTTCAGCCCCAAAGAACCCAAAAAAGGTTTCTGTTGGGGTCGTCATAATTAGCTGGTCACGGACATTTGCGCCATGCCAGCTGCAAGACTGGAGGAAAGACAAGGAGGTCCCAGTCTGCAGGTAACTCTCCCCAGCGGAGAGACCTGCAACTTCTGTGGACAGATCTGTAGCTCGAGGATCGGACTCATTGCTGAGTCGTAGTAGCAATCGTCCTTGTATCAAGGGACTGCCCCCGAGGACATGCCAGCAGCCTAATTTCTCAAACCGGAGGTGTCAAACAGAGATGCCTCCAGGCTTTCAGAGGGGCTGGGAGTGTGGGGGTGAGGTCAGCAGGGATGGGCCCCAAGGCCAGGTACAGGGCACAGAGCCTCACTGGGGCCACACTACCACCCTGGGAAGAGCTTCTGATGGATCTCCTCAGAGATGGGGTCTGACAAGCCTCACAGCAGCAGGCCATTGCCCAGTATTGCCAGGTCCTAAATATGAAATGATCATATTGGGAGCTCACAAACGATCGTATTTGCTAAAAAACTAGTGTACACTGAAAAATTAGGCAAATAAGTCTGCAAACAAGTCTTCTTCTCGTTTACTTTGTATTGCTTACTATAAATTGCCAGTGAGCAAGAACTGCGACATTAAATTGAAACATGTCTTTATTTTGAGGGGAGCAGTCATAGAAAAGTGCTGGCAGCAAACCCAAAAGATAGTTAAAACTCTGAGAGTGACTGGGGTTGCCTCAAAAATGATCGTACATTGTTGAAATTATGGTACAAATACGAAAATTATCGTACACCTGTCTGCCGCTGCCCCTGGCTGCCGCTGCCCCCTGCCCCAGGCCAGCAGCCGGGCCTCCAGTGCCAGAGCTCCATGTGCTAACTACTGCAATCCTGAGTGGGCGCCGAGACTACAACTCCCAGCATGCCCCGCGGTAAGATCGAACTGCGATTCCCATCAGGCCTCGCGGCGCAGGACCACTAAGGCTGGCACATGCGCGCTGAGGTGGCGGCTGAGGAATGTCCCTGCGCAGGCTGCACACGCAGGCCTCGCCCTCCCGCGGCGGCATTGCTTCCCATCAGCCCTGGGGCTTCCCTTACTCTTTTGCTTTTTTGCAGCCGACTCCGCAGGGAGAGCTGGGGCCACAAACCGGAAGCTCCTGTTGCCGTAGTAACTGTCTCCACGGTAAACATCCCGGCCGCCCCCGGAAGTGTTTCGTGGTGACCTGCCCGCATGGAGAGTTTAATTCATTCCGACGTTGGCCCGGCTCCGGCTCCGGCTCCGGCTCCGACTCAGCCACGTGACCCCGCTCCCTAAACTGACGGGTGTTGAAAATAAATAAATAAATAGCTCACGTCCATGTTAAACCCGCCCTCGAGCGCAATTGGTCGCGTCTACCCGGCAGCATCCAATCAGCGCCGGCCACGCTCTGCCTGCAGGAAGCCGCACATGGAAAGCTCCGATTGGTGGCCGCGGGGCTCCGCCCCACCTTCCTCGGCTCCCCATTGGCTCCGTGTTTGGCGTGGTGCGCCCTGATTGGTGCACGGCGGAGGCCGCCCCCTCCCCGCGGGAGGTGACGGTGATAAGCCGGGGGGCAGGGCTGGGCCGCGCTGGTCCAGTGAGGTCGGTGGCGACGGAGTGTGGGGTCTGTGGGCAGAGCAGCCGTTGCTTTCTGGGTCGCGCGGGTGCCGCCATGAAGCTGCTGTGGGGGGTCGGGCTCCTCGGCGTCCTGCTGCTCGCCGGTGAGTGGCCCGCGGCTTCTGGAAGCTTCTCGTGGGGTCTTGGGGGAGGGGAGACCCCCCCAAATCTCACAGCGCAAGAGGAAGGGGGGGACGCCTGGGTCGGTGCTTATGTCATTTCGCGGGGTCGGTACTTACGTCATCGCCTCCCCCCCAGTTCGGAGGTCCTTGCCTTGCCCTGTGCCTGCCCGTGGTCTGGGAGGGGTCCTGACAGTCGGGTTCCCTGGGGCTGAGGCGAGGGGGAGCCCTGAAGTCCTAGGCCAGGCTGATCCTAACGGTGCTGGGTCCTTCTGCCCTTGCAGCATCTGTGCGAGCGGACGAGGTGGAGGTGGATGCCACGGTGGAAGATGACATGGGGAAAAGCCGCGAAGGCTCTCGGACGGACGATGAAGTGGTCCAGAGGTTGGCGTTGTGGCCTGCGGGGTCTCTGTGGTGGTGTTGGGTGGGGGGAGGGGGTTGGGTGCCCGATTTCCTCACTCATGGTGCCTGAAAGGCTTTGGCTGCTTTAGAAATACCACTTGAAAGCTGTGTCTTAATCTGGAGCCAGGACTCCATGGGGGTAACAGCAAGACTAGAAAGCTAAAGTGTCCCTGGAAGTACATGGTGCTTGCTAGTGGAACGGGGTCGTTTCCGCGTGCAGAAATCTCTGACTCTTTCAGGAGTAGCCTTTTGGCTTTTAGCCGAGTAGTGACCTGAGACACGTGCCAGTGTAGTCAAATGTAGCCTGTTGGCTTTGGGCTTGTCTCTTTTACTCTACCACAAGGGGTAGATTAAGGGTCTTAACTATTCAGCAGTAACCACTTAAGATAAGCATATAACATAATGTGGTTTGAATGGGCATCTTAGCCCCTGTATCAAAGCAAGGGTTTGCTATGCTACTTTATCATTCAGTTTACAATTCTTTTATCTTCACGTTGATAAGTAATGCTTTTTTTCCTCTTGCCTAAGGCTCAGGGGTGCTCTTGAACCTGTAGGGCTCCACAAAAAGACATCCAGCTGTCACAGTAGCTTGCACACTTGGTGATCCATGGTCAACCTGCAAAGTCAGCAGAAAACAAGTCCGATCATTCTTAGTTGTCCTGACATAGTAATTTGTGAGGTGTCTTAATACTTTGGTGGTTGAGGTGCCCCTGTAGTTTAAGACTTTGGAAACTGTCTCCACAGAGAGGAAGAAGCTATTCAATTGGATGGTTTGAATGCATCCCAGATAAAAGAAATCCGAGAAAAATCTGAGAAGTTTGCATTCCAAGCAGAAGTTAACAGAATGATGAAGCTTATTATCAATTCTTTATACAAAAATAAAGAGGTGAGCAACAAGTTCATCAACCCAAAGTGTTTTAGCGTATTTTTCATGTATGTTCTTTATGATGCATAAACACTGTTTTATTTCAGATTTTCCTGAGAGAGCTGATATCGAATGCCTCTGATGCTCTAGATAAGATAAGGCTAATATCGTTGACTGATGAAAATGCGCTCTCTGGTAATGAAGAGCTTACTGTTAAAATCAAGGTAAGTTGCAAAATATTACTGTAATCTGTTTCCTTTCTTAGTGGTGGGGAGATGGGTTTTGTTTGTCATGCGTTTATCTAAGCTAACGGAGTTGCTGCTTGACTTTCTGGTGCATTGGCTTCTATAAGATAACTTACTTCAAGTAAAAACTTTGAATCTTACCTCTGTTTTGCCCCAACATGCATTTCTAGTCTTTTGACAACAAGCTACATACAATTTTGAACAGCAAACTTTATTGAACATTTCAGGTAGTATAATCTCTCACACTAATCTTGCAGATGTTATGTATTGTATCCTGATGGGTATGAAAGTGATGTTTAGCTGAATGTTTCTTTTGTTTCAGTGCGATAAAGAGAAGAACATGCTTCATGTTACAGACACGGGTATTGGCATGACCAAGGAGGAATTGATTAAAAACCTGGGTACTATTGCCAAGTCTGGTACAAGTGAATTCTTAAACAAGATAACTGAAATGCAAGATAGTAGTCAGTCAACATCTGAGTTGATTGGTCAGTTTGGCGTTGGCTTCTACTCTGCCTTCCTTGTAGCAGACAGAGTTATTGTTACATCAAAGCACAACAACGATACTCAGCACATCTGGGAGTCAGACTCAAATGAATTTTCTGTAATTGATGACCCAAGAGGAAACACCTTGGGCCGAGGCACCACCATAACGTAAGTGTTGAGGCTGATCTAAAGAAGCTATTATGGTATCATTCACATATGCCCTTCCCTTTAGCATGTGTCTGTCTTCTGCATGACATTTTGTGTGCATCAATTACTGTATCCTTTCTTAGCATAAGAATCCCTCCGATGCTGTTGCCTTGGACTCTTCTTCTTGCTACTAGTGTATATAGCCTGTATTTTATATTTTGTTTCCCATTTCTTTGTTTGTTTTATGAAATCTGAAATACGTTAAGAAAACTTTATGTAACTTTTGCTTCTAGTGCAATAAAAACTGTAAGTACTTCTAAGAAATCTGTCAGGAGCTTCAGGTTGAGGGAAGTGTATTTTTAATGTAATTATTTGTATTTAAATGAGGCCAAACCAAGGCAATTTTTAAAAAAATCCCTTAAACTTTGAAACTGGCTGCAGTTACTAGAATATGGGACTGGCTTCAGGCAACATTAATGGATTGGTAGTGACTAATCATCACCTTTTGCTTTTTCACTTCTGCTTTGCTTGTCTCCTTTGCATCTGGCTTTGTCGTGAAAGATGGTACGCTTGCTGGGGAAGATCTTTGTTAGTAAAGAGACATTGCTATTCTGACTTAAGGGGAGGGAGAAGAATCCAGTGAAAGAACGAGATCATTTCAAACAGTGAACACTAATGACTTGATCTCAGATTTTGAGCACTCTAACAACTTCAGGTGCTTTTTTAAATCTAAACAGTTGCTCTGTTCTCAGCTGGGTTACTGTTTTGTAATGGGATACCTGTAAAGATACTGCATTTCCTCTGGAGAGAGGCAGGGGAGAGGAAGGAATGGTGTTTCTGTTGCAGTCAACTGTGTTAGACTAAACTAGGATGGGCAGCTTTGAAGAGTTGAGACTAAAATGTATCAAACAGAAAATTCAAATGATATACCAGGTCTGTCACAACAGCATCTGTGTATTAAGTAAAATTACATTGACTGTTATGTCTTGTATGTCGTCAGTCTTGTTTTGAAGGAGGAGACTTCTGACTACCTTGAGCTGGATACAATTAAGAATCTAGTCAAGAAATATTCACAGTTCATAAATTTCCCCATATATGTATGGAGCAGCAAGGTAAGTGGTTGTAATTTAACTGTAGAAGTAATGTTCAAGTGCAATGTATGAACTGTAAGGCTTAAAAACTTATTGATTAGAAGTTGTTTACAGATATTAACTAAACTTTTTTTGAAAGTATTTGTCCTCAGGGTGGGCAAAAATTATTAGTGAAATGAAACCCATTGTAATACTTTCCTGAATGTTACCACTCTGACTCTATAATGTAGTATGGAACAGCTGATACTAATTGGGGGTTTTTTGTTGGGTTTTTTTTCTTTCTCTGTTCTGCAAATGCTTGGGGCTAGCATGACCCCTTCATATGGTCTCAGAGGTAATAATGTTAAAACTAAAGTCTGAGACTAGAATATTTCATGAGGGAAGAATGATTTAGACAGGCTTTGTAGTCAGCTTCTGACTAACAAAAGTGGAGAAAAGTAAAGCCACAGGTGCATCCTAGGCACTAGAATGAAAAATAACTTACTACTTTGTTCATCTCTAGCAAATCCAAGCAGTGGAAATACCAAATGAGATTTAGGGAGAGCATCTTGTTAAACGGGCTTTCTTCCACCTATGGTTGTTGGTGACTTCTCAACAGAATTGTTTGTATGTCACTGGTGAAGTGATGCATTGTGTTCTTTCATATCTGCCTCTAGTTAACAATTGGCTTTGAAAAATTTAGGCCTGTTAGCATGCAAAAATGAAAAGAAGACTTCCTACTTTTGCCCCATGTCTGCTACCTCTGTATTGGGATGTGCAGCTTGAAGGGTAAAATTTACCAGAACATGACCTCATTTGATCTTGACAGACCTGATAAGGGCTGCCCCCCTCTTCCCCTCCTAGTATTGCTTTGTTTAAATTGGTGTTACAAATAATTATATAGTGAAACTGTGATTCAACCTTGAATGTCTAGATTGGCACCAAAAAATATCACATCATGTGTGTACTCTAGGTTCTTATGAGACTGGCTAGCTAAGGAAAAGTCTGACAGTTTTGTCTTGATGTGTCTTTGCAGACTGAGACTGTCGAAGAACCCATTGATGAGGAAGAAGCAAAAGAAAAGGAGGAAAAAGAAGAAACGGATGATGAGGAGGCTGCAGTTGAGGAAGAAGAGGAAGAAAAGAAACCAAAAACTAAAAAAGTAAAATGTTTTGGCCTTTAACAGTTACACAGGCGCAGAGTCCTTGGTCTTTCAAATAAGTAATAAATTATTTTTTCAGTAATAAACATGGCCTTTGGGAATGGGATGTTAATTGGAATTCAAATCAGTAAGGATAAGAGACAAAGTAAAATAGATAAATGTTTGTCTTTATTATCAGAACTATACAGAAGCACTTTTATTTACAGCCAAAAAAAAACCAAAAAAACAGGTGGCAGCTTTTTGAATAGTAACTCCTGTAAAAAAGATCTGAATGCCAATAGATGTGCTTGCTCAATGCTGTCTCGTAACATTTGATGGGATCAGGTTAGGCTGTTAACCTAGATAACTTTAGCTTAATTTTTAGACAGAGTTCCTACAGCTGTGCTGTGAAGTTCACCCTAAATTTGAGACTAGGTAGAAATGTAATACATCCGCTTCAACTTGCATGGTGCTTATCTATAAATGTGGAGGTAGAAATTATGGGATGGTAAGCAGGTAACAAATGCACATAACTGCATGTAAATCTTAAAACTCTTTAGACTGCAAAACTTTAGGGCAGGTGCCATGACTTTTTGGTATGCTCCTTGGCATACTAGTGAGTAATTGGAATAACAGGAAATTAGCATGCATGACACTTCAAATACTGACAATGCAATGTTGGACCTAAAGTGAGGTTGACTTTTTTTTTTTTCCCCCCCTCCCCCCATAACTAGCTAATAATCAATAATAGCTTCCAAAGAGGTAATGTTAGGGGTCTAGCACTGTTTTTTGTTTGTTTGTTTGTTTTTTCCCTGCCCCCCC